TTTTTGAGACACAGTCTTGCTCTGTCACCAGGTGCCAGGCTGGAGGGCAGTGGCACAATCTCGGCTCACTGCAACCTCCACCTCCTGGGTTCAAGCAATTCTCCTGCCTCAGCCTCCCCAGTAGCTAGGACCACAGGCATGCACCACCACGCCCAGCTAATTTTGGTATTTTTAGTAGAGACGGGGTTTCACCATGTTGGCCAGGATGGTCTCGATCTCTTGACCTTGTGATCCGCCCACCTCGGCCTCTCACAGTGCTGGGATTACAGGCGTGAGCCGCCGCGCCCGGCCAATCTCTTTTTAATTAATAAAATTTCCAATCTACCAGGAAGATACAGCATTATAAAATATGTTGTCCTTATTAGCACAGCCTCAAAAATATATGAAGCAAAATTTCACAGAAGTAAAAGGAGAAATAAAGAAAACCATATTCATAATGAGATAGTTTAGCCTACTTTTTTTTTTTTTTTTTTGAGACAGAGTCTTGCTATGTTGCCCAGGCTGGAGTGCAGTGGCATGATCTCAGCTCACTGCAACCTCTGCTTCCCAGGTTCAAGTGATTGTCCTGCCTCAGCCTCTCAAGTAGCTGGGATTACAGGTATGCAATCCCACCAGCCACCATGCACAGCTAACTTTTGTACGTTTAGTGAAGACAGGGTTTTACCATGTTGGCCAGGCTAGTCTTGAACTTCTGACCTCAGGTGATCCACCTGCCTCGGCCTCCCAAAATACTGGGATTATGGGTGTGAGCCACTGTGCCTGGCCCTACCTCTTGCAGTAGCTGACTACTAGAGCAAAAAAAAAAAAAAAAAAAAAAAAAAAAAAAAAAAAAAAAAAAAAAAAGGAAGGGGGTGCAATCCATTTAACAAATTTGGCCTAATGTTCATGGATGGGCAGAGGAAATATTTTAAGGATGACACTCTTTGATCAGATCACTCTTTCCAGAGTGATCTATAGATTCAATACAATCTCAGATTCTAACAAGATTGCATATGTGTGGTATTGGGGGAAGGGAAGTCTCAACAAGTTGATTCTAAAATGCATGTGGAAATATAGAGAACATAGAGTAACCAAAAGACTCTTGAAGAAGAAGAGGCTGAGGAGAGAAGAATGTATTCTACCAGATATTAAGACCTATTACAAAATACAGTAATTAAGAGAGTATAGTATTGTGGCAGGATAAACAAGGAAATCCATATACATAATAGAGTCCAGAAAGACTCATGCATGCATGAATATCTGACTTATGACAGCAGTGGCACTGCACTTTGTGCTGGGGCTGGGTTTTATCTGCTTTTGTTTTGTTCTTATAGTAACGTGTATAAAGTAAAAAAAAAAAAAAAAAAAAAATTCAAATAGACATGTAATGTCAGATTTCTACCAGAAGTATTTTTTTTTTTTTTTCCTGAAGGATTTTTATCAAGTTATACTTACAAGGGTTAGGGACAATCTATATATAATTGTTAAGGATTGTCTCCTGTTGTTGAGCAGGGCCAAAGTTTAAATTAAGAAATGATTTGTATCACTGTCTAGTAACCAGGTGATGTGCATTGTTGTCGTACTTACTACTTTATATCCAAAACAAGTGTCTTTTCTTTTCTGTTGTGTATAGGTTGTGAGGAATGAGCTCTTAGAGAAGCACTACAAACATGGAAGCAAGTTTCTGACTTCATTTCCAGATGGGACAACACAAATATTGTATCCTCTTTCAACAAGCTATTTTTATTAGCTTTACTACTTTAAAAAAACAGGAAGTTAAAGAAAGAAAATGTATGACCGGGCGCAGTGGCTCACACCTGTAATGCTGGTACTTTGGAAGGCCAAGGCAGGCAGATCGCTTGAGCTCAGGAGGTCGAGACCAGCCTGGACAACATGGCAAAACTCCACCTCCATAAAATATTAGTTGGGCGTGGTGGCACATGCTGTAGTCCTAGCTACTAGGAGACTTGAAGTAGGGGGATCACCTGGGCTCAGGAGGTGGCAGCTGCAGTGACTGAGATTGTGCCACTGCACTCCAGCATGGGCAACAAAGTGGGACCCTGCCTCAAAAAACAACAACAACAACAACAACAACAAAAAACAGAAAAATATAAAGATCCAGTGTAACTGAAAAATAGAAATTTTAATTAAAAAGACAAATAAATAGAAAGATAAAGGAAAACTATAAAGGAACTATTAGCTGAGCATGGTAGCACACACTTATAATCCCAGCACTTTGGGAGGCCGAGGCAGGAGGATTACTGGAGTTCAGGAGTTTAAGCTCAGCCTGGGCAGCATAGTGAGATCCCATCTCTACAAAAAATAAAAAAATTAGCCAGGTGCAGTGGTACATACCTGCAATCCCAGCTACTTAGGATGATGAGGTAAAAAGATTGCTTGAGCCTGGGTGGTCAAGGCTGCAGGGAGCCATGATCATGCCACTGCACTCCAGCCTAAATGACAGAGTAAGACCAAGAAGGAGGAAGGAAGGAAGGGAGGGAGGGAGGGAGGGAGGGAGGGAAGGAGAGGGAAAGAAAAAGAAATAAAGGAAGGAAAGAAGGAAGGAAAGGAAAAAAGCAAGCAAGCAGGCAGGCAAATACTACCCTCAAATTCTACCACCCAGAGAAAAGCTGTTAGCATTTAATTACTTTTACTATTTTTTTTTTAAGACAGGATCTCACTGTGAGGCCCAGGTTAGAGTACAGCAGCACGATTATGACCCACTGCAACCTCAACCCCAGGGGCTCAAGCAGTCCTCCCACCTCAGCATCCTAAGTAGATGGAACCACAGGCATGCACCACTACACCTGGCTAATTTTTTAAATTTTTGGTAGAGATAGGGTCTCTCTATGTTGCCCCGGCTGGTCTTGAACTCCTGGGTGCAAGCAATCCTCCCTCCTCAGCCTCCCAAATGGCTGGGATTACAGGTGTGAGCCAATGCATATCTGGCCAGCATTTAAAAACATGGTTTTTTGGCTATTCTGAACACACTTCCTATGAAGTAGCCCTGCTCCCCAAGGAGCAGAAAGAAAAATAAATAAATAAAAATATATGGTTTTGTTTGTTTTTTGAGACAGAGTCTTACCCTGGCTGTAGTGCAGTGGTGAGATCTTGGCTCACTGCAACTTCCACTTCCTGGGTTCAAGCAATTTTCCTGCCTCAGCCTTCCAAGTAGCTGGGATTACAGGCACACACCACCACACCCAGCTAATTTTTGTATTTTTAGTAGAGACAGGGTTTCGCCACATTGCCCAGACTGGTTTTGAACTCTTGACTTCAGGTAATCTGCCCGCCTCAGCCTCCCAAAGTGCTGGGATACTATATATATGCATATATATACATACATATAAACTGATTCTTTAACCGTTTATTCATATTTTCTGATTCCTTTACATGATATTATACGCTAATGTTATGAATATGGCATGCAATAAAGACACATCATTTTTCCCCCCCAAAAAATCCACTTTTATACCTGAATTGAAACTTAGAAACACCATTTTATACCTGAATTGAAACTCAGCAACACCATTTTATTACCTGAATTGAACACCGTTTTATAACCTGTTTATACCTTAATTGAAACTTAGCAACACCATTTTTAAACCACATAGTACTTCATTATATAGATGTACTACAATTCATTTAACCTATTAGGTGATTTCACAATTTTTGCTATTATACACAACAGCTAAATAAACAGCTTTGGGTATACTTTGTGGCATAGTTGCCACTTATTTCCTTGAATTAAATACCCAGGGGTTGAGGCTGGGCATGGTGACTCATGCCTATAATCCCAGCACTTTGNTACTTTGTGGCATAGTTGCCACTTATTTCCTTGAATTAAATACCCAGGGGTTGAGGCTGGGCATGGTGACTCATGCCTATAATCCCAGCACTTTGAGAGGCCACAGTGGGCAGACTGCTTGAGCTCAGGAGTTTGAGGTCAGCCTGGGCAACAGAGTGAAAGCCTGTGTCTACAAAAAAATACAAAAAATTAGCCAGGTATGGTGGTGCACACCTGTAGTTCCAACTACCTGGAAAGCTGAGGTAGGAGAATTGCCTGAGCCAGAGAGGTTGAGGCTGCAGTGAGTGCAGTGAGCTGTGATCGTGCCACTGCACTCCAGCCTGGGCAACAGAGCAAGATCCTGTCTCAAAAAATTAATTAATTAAACATATAGTGGTAGAAATTCCAGATGAATAATTTGGACATTTTAAAGCTTTGATAGATGTTGCCATCCCTCCATCCCAGAAAATGTATACCAGTTTTCACACCCATGAGTGGTAGACAATTTTTAATACCAAAATTCAATATCCATTTCATGGAACACTAAGTTATTGATCACTTGGACTTTCTGACTGATGGCTATGTCATTCATTTAATATTTAAACTTTTTGAGCTTTTCAGATCTTCATAATATCTGATGAAAGTAAAAACAAGAAACCAAAAAATGAGGAAGTCTTTTCATGAACTGAGAGCCTCCCCTTGTAAAAGAAAGCCATTTTTAGACATCATTTACTAAGTGTTTACTCAAACCCCAATAATATACCAGAAAAATGACTTTTGAAGCATAGGAAGCATAATGAAGTTTTAGTTCTCTAGGTCTATGAGAGTGTGTAGGTTTTGTTTTAATTACATCAATAAATTTTAAGTAATTTACCTGATCTAAAACTTTTTTTAAGTTTTTAGAGAGAGAGTCCTGCTATGTCGCCTAGGCTGGCCTCAAACTCCTGGGCTCAAGTGATCCTCCCACCTCAGTCTCCCAAGCAGCTGGGACTACAGGCTGTAGCTGTATAAAAACCATAAAAAAATATATGGTTTTCCAACTTTTATTATTAATCATTTCATGTCCTGACTTTATTTTATTCTTCTTAACTCTCTTGAAGGCTGTAGCTGATTTGCAAAATGATTTAGAATCAATCTTGTGTTTATTTCTGGACTTCTAATCAGCCTGGCTATGAAAATGAGTGTTAACAGTTAGTGAATTATCCTCAGTATATATATATATATATATATATATA